CGCGCAGCTGCTCCTTCCTGTGCGGGGCGCCCTCCGGGCTGGGGACGCAGGCCCGGCTCCGTACGCGCACTGAGTCTGCCATCCCCATCACCGGGCCCGCGGGGCAGCGGCCGGACGCGGAGCCGGGAGGCGGCGGAGAGGGCCGACGGGCGGACCGAGAGCCGGGCCCTCTGGGCTGCAGGTGCAGGGTGGCAGCGGAGAGGCGGCCAGTAGGGGAATGGAGCCCGGCGCGTTTGGGGGAGAGCTCGGGGCGAGGACGAGGGGAGACCGGGGCGTGGTGTGGCCCCCGGAACGACGTGGAGACTCAGGCGGCGAGGGAGTGGGGAGGAGAGGCAGGGGTCTTGGACTCTGCGGCTTGCTATGAAAGGCCAGAAGTCGGGGAGCGGAGTGCGAGGAGGTGGCCGCGTGCAAGGCTGGTGTCCCCGCGGGTCCACGACAGAATGGAGGAGGGGACAGGCTGGTGTATTCGGGGCCTGGGGTCAAACCTCTGACTCAGAGAAAGGCAAGGTCTTAAATGGGAATGCAGTGCTGAGGTCCCCCTAGGGCCTGGGGTCCATTGACACTTACCTTCTTTTGAGCCAACTCTTGAAACCCTCCGGCCCCTCGTTGGCTTCCAGCAGGCCTGGGTCGTGTGAAATGATGGGAGAGGCCAGGGGATTGCCTGTTGCCAGATTTGCGTTTGAATAAGCAAAGCTGAAAGTGAAGCGAGGAAGCTGGACGTATTGAAAAAAGATCAGAGGTCCGTGGATAGGGTGGGGGGCGGTGCACACTTTGGTCCCCAAAGTGACCGGGATAGTGGGGGACTGTGGAGGAGGAACAGCCTTCACAGGATGCCAGAGCCAACTGGGTGATCAGGGCAGGGGATACATTGGGAGGAAGAAGCAGGACCCTACAGAGGGGGAGGTCAAGGGGCTGGGGGGCATGGAGGGTGGTGGCAGCATTTGGGGAGGATGGCAAGCCTGAGGGGATGCAGGGTCAGGCTGAGGGCACCGGGGCCTCAGAGGAGGAGTTGGGGTAGAGGACTGGATCCAGCCATGGTGTGGTCTTCCCTTAGGCCACCCGATACCTTGGCCACCAGAGGGAGTTTTCTAAAACAAAGTATGGCCCATCCTAGCTTGAAATTGTTAGCTCCTGAGTGTGATCTGAGTGAAGGACGGCCCATCAGGTGGGTTCCTGCCCACACTGGTCCTCACATCAGCCTCATCTGCCACCTGCCCCAGGTGTGCAAGAGAAAACAGGAAGCCAGAAATTGCCATCATCAAGGATTATGGGAGACTAGTAAAGCCTGGCTGTCAGAGCTGTCTTTTCACTAAGGAGCACTCATGGGTGCTTCCCCTTAGATTAGGAAAGGGCACCCATTCCTACACACTTCCGCCAAGTTTACAACACTCACCCCATGAAAAGTGAGTACCTAAAGTCATTGTGCACGTGTGCGCACATGCACACACACACATACACACACACATCTATAGTTTTCTAAAAGGATTCTGCCTTTTCTGGTTTATGAAATACAGTGAACATTTATGGACACAGAGCTGAGGTGATGAGGTGGGGGAAGGGTCTAGTCCATGCTTGGAAGAATGCACAGAATTTTAGTGGAGGCCAAGTGAGATGGGGGAGGGGGAAGGTGTTGCACACATGAGTATGACTGACCACTGACCTAGCCTGCTGGGTGTGGAGAAATAGTTGAGGAAGGCATCCTGGATAGGAGGAATCCCCAGCTGAAGCTGGAAAGCTAGCAGGAATGTGCTAGGCCAGTGGTTTAGGCAGAAAGGGCACTGGGACCCAAAAGAAGTAAGCACCTACATGCTGTGTTCAGGAAATCCAAGGTCACCTGGTCTTGCTGGAGATGGGGAGAAGTGGACTGGAGGGTTAGTAGGGCCTTGAGGTGGACTGGGGCTGCAGACTGGAGATCCATGGACTCGCTTCAATTCACTGATATGTCTTGTTTAGCCCAGCTTTGTTTGTTTTTTTAAAATTGACTTAGTTGCCAACATTTGAAAATTGGGAGCTTTCACTTGAAAAATCTCAATTGCTGGTTTCTCTTGAGTAGTTAGAAGCTCTGGCACCATGGGACCTGCATTCCCATAAGGAACTGAGTGGTAGCTGCCCTTTTAGGGGAGGCCCCTAGGTCACCATAGTCCCCACCACTCCCTATGACCCATCTCTGGCCATGACTTCATTAGCCCTTACCTGCTGGCCCTTGGGGCATTTCGGGGTAGGTGCCCCATCTGTGGAGGGAGAGGGCAGATGTTGAGGGGTGTTAAGAAAGGAAGTGAATGATGTGCTTAGGTGTTTATTTTGGAAAGATCACTAGAGCCCATGGAGTTTCAGGGATGAGGGACTTATATTCACAAGACCAGTTAGGGAGCTACTGCAAAGGCCCCTGTAAAAGAAGGTGAGGCCTGGCCTGGGGCAGGTGTCAAGAGGAAGGAACTGATTTTAAAACTGTTTCAAGACTTGAGGCCATGAAGAGTCACAGTGACTGCCACTACACAGCCACCAGGATGGCTATAATAAAACAGAGAATATTGTGGCAACGACATGGAGCCACTGGAACTCCCATCCCTGCTGGTGGGAAAGCAGGAGGAGCATGCCCACTTTGGAAAACAGTTTGGCGATGTCTGGTAACATCAGACCTACACCTGTCATACCACCCAGCAGTCCTATTCCCGGATATGTATCCGAGAGAGAGAAAAACGTGTCCACACAAAGAGTTGGACATAAATATAGCAGCTTTATTCCAAACAGTCAAAAACTGGAAACAACCCAAGCCCGTGTGTAGCCTGATGGGTAAACAAACTGTGGTGCATCCATACAGTGGGCTACTACCTGGCGGTAAAAGACACTGACCTGACAGATGCACGACATGGGAAAGTACCCAAAACATCCTGCTAAGTGAAGGAAGCCAAACAAGGCTACATCCTCTATGATTTTAGAACATTCTGGAAAAAGCAAAATTGGGTCTGTGGTTGCCAAAGGTCAAGGTGGGGGTGTGGGGGTGGGCGGGAATGATGACCAGCGGCCACGAGGGAATTTTGGGGGATGATGGGTATACTCTATATTTTAATGCTGATGGTGGTCATATCACAATATGTTTATCCAATTTCAGAACTGGGCACCTGAAAAGGGGTGACTTTTAACATATGTAAAGTATTCTAAAAAACTTGATGTAAAGAAAAGAAGTCTGTTTAAGAGGTAGAGTAGTCGGTCTTAGAGGTGGGGTTGGGGGTGAAGGAGGAGGAGGAGTCAGAGAGTATGCCATGGTTCCTGGCTTGATTTTTGGAGAGGGGACTTCTGGCCTGGGCCTGCTCACTCACCTGCTGAGAGGAAGGCCTTAGTGAACCTGCATCCGGGCTGCCCACCTGCCGTCTGACACCTCCCCCTTCTCTGTTCCCTTCAGCTCTGCAGCTCTGGCAGTGTACCTTTTGAGCTGAAGGCCACTGGCTGTTCTTCTTCCTGAGACCTCACTGCTCCTCGCTTCCCTGCCTTTGACTTGGCTCCTCGATGGCACAGCCGGCAGACACCGCCCACCTGGCAGACATTGCCCACTTCCCTGCCCCACGTGGGAGAATAGCGCATAGGAGGGAAGGAAGAAGAGCTCAGGCTCCACTCCTTGGCCTGGGAGTGCCGGGGGACACTGGAGGCTGGTCCAGGGGTCACAGTGCTGATGGGTTCCCATGGCTCCAATCTCATCGTCCACTCTTGACTTGCCTTGACCGGGTTCCATTTGGGCTTTTCACTGAGTTGTGCTCTTCTGGGCAAGAGGTTTGCTTCCCCAAGCTTCAATTCCATGGGGAGTGGGCATGGTTGGTGACCCCTGCCTGATGGGGATGCCGTGAGGACTCCAGGAGAGCAGTACCAAGTTCAGGGCATAGACTGTGCACACAGGGACACTGAGTGTCCTTGTGCTGGCCTCCTCTGCTCCCTCCTCACCTTGCCTGCTCTCCCCCCACTCCCTCATTCCCTCCCTATCTCCTCCCCAGCCCTGACCAGGACCCAATGTGCCAGGGGATGCAAGTCAAGACGGTTTCCGTTGTGTGTTTGAGAAAGCCAAACTGCACTTAACCCAGTGGGGACAACTGTTGGGAGGTTCCTGCATTGTAAACCCTGGGAGAGCATGGGTGGAGCTGGCCCTGGGACCACAAGCTAGAGAAATGGGCCAGAGCCTTGGAAGCTATGGGCAAACTCTTCATCACATCCTGTTCTCCTCTGGGTCAGCTTCCTTCTCCCTGTGTCACCTTCTGCTCTTCCATTGCCCAAGGGGGGCAGACCCTCTGTCCCATATCAAGTTTGAAAATCCCCAGAGGAGGACTCTGATGGGCTCCTTGGGCAGGGCCTCCCACTTCTGGGGTGGGCAGTCAGGCTCATGTGAAGACATGGCAGGAGAAAGGGCAGAAACAGTTGGGAAAGGCAGAAGGCTGGGGGCTTATTCTCCGATCATAAGAAAGAGGGCATGGGTGCTGTATAACGGAATGCTGAATGCAGTGGCCCTCCGCCCCCCTTTTCCAGGCAGCCCCCAGAACACCAGCAACTGGACCCTTGCTGTCAGGCAAGAGACTGGAAAACTCTTCTCTGGAAGTTGGACCAGCCCTAAAACCTAAAGCAAAGATCTGACCCCTGCGCTCCCCACCCCCTGCCACCGTAGACTCCCCTAGATTACCTAGCAGAGAATCTCAGCATCAACAGGCTTCACTGTGTGTTCAGAACTTTCCTCCCACCTTGAATCTGATCAGACAGCCCAAGGTCATGTGGCAAAAAAAAAAACAAAAACAAAAAACCCCCACAAAACTAAGACAACCCAAAAAACTATCTTGAAAGAAACAGAGATTATAGTGAAAAAGAAAGGAAATTCTAAAAGGAAAAACATGTTGCCAGCTTCAGAGAGAATGAAAGTCTCGCATCCTTGAAGCCGTTAGAAAGATATTGAGCACACCTATATGTCCTTGCTCTCTCGGCTGAGATGGCCTAGAAGCGGCAACACCCCAGCAGGAAAAGCACACCCGGAGCCCAGGAATTGTTTTCTACTGCCCATTCTCCAACAAAAGAGACCAGGGGTCCCAAATCAGTAATGGCTGATTCTAGGGCTGGGGGAGGGGATACACAAGAGGAGACTGGAGCATCTTGGGGTGCAAGAAAATAAAGAAGGGCTTACAATACACACACATACACACACACACAGAGTTACTTCCTCAGTAAATGGGGAAGAACAGACAAGCCTGTACCGAATCCCAAATAATTTACGTAGACAATCCCCTCTCAGGAAGGCGAAGCATAACTCTCCACTCACTCATTGGGGGGGTGGGATAGTGACTCCCTTCCAAAGAGTTCAGTATGGAAAGGGAGAAAAATGAGACTACTGCACACAGGTGACCAAGAGATCGTAACAATGACAAGACATGTTGATAGCATGTTCCCCTCTGCATATGGAGTAATGAGAATGGCACTTTACTTCTGGGGTCTTCCTCCCCCAAACACGTAACCTCAGTTTACCATGCGAAAAGCATCAGACAAACCCAGTTGGGGAACATTCTAGAAAATACCCACCAGTTATCCTCAAAAATGTCAAGATCATTCAAAACAAAGGAAGTCTGAGAAACGGTCACAGCCAAGAGGAGCCTAAGGAAACATGTAATGTGATGTCAGGAAAAAGCAAGAAAAGGACATTAGGTAAAAACTAAGGAAATGTGAATAAAGTATGGCTGTAGTTAATTTTTTAAAAAATATGCATTATAAATATATATGTATTTATATATTCAGAGCAAAAAAAAAATAGAGCCCTTGGAAATTAAATCGTATTGGCAGAAATGAAAACTCTTAGTAGTAAACAGATTGGGAGAATAAGTCAAATCTCCCATTAGTAGAGCAAAAAGATAAGATGCACAATAAAAAAAAAAAGACAGGAAATGAGAAGCCTGTCCAGAAGCTTCAACCTCTGAAATAAGAGGGGCCAGGAAAACTAAAGAAATCCACAGAAAAGTAATTCAAGAAGATTCCCCAGAATGGAGGACCAGGAGGTATCAGCCTGAAATCAACACTAAATGAGAAGAGACCCAAGACAGCTTGCTGTGGCATTTGAGAACACAGGGGGAGAAAAAGAGGGAAATACAAAGGTCACCTACATCAGAGTGAGTTTGAAACCCTCAACTGCAAAACCGTGAACAAGATCATGGAGATTTACCTTTACAGTTCTGAAGAAAACATGTTTTGTGACCTAGAATTCTATACGTAGCTAAACCCTCAGTCCCGTGTGAGGCATGAAGTCATTTACTTCTCAAGGTCTCAGAAATTTATCTCCCAGCCTCCTTTACTCAAGAAGGATGTACCCCACCAAGATGACAAAGGAAACTCAGAAGGAAGACATGAGATACTGGAAGCAGGATGAAAGGGACTTCCTTGGAGGATGATGGAGCGCTCCCAGGATGGCAGCTCTGCAGCAGATGTGGAGGGAGCTGAGCCATCCTGCAGCGGGGTGACCCCAGAGACAGCCGGGCATCACAAAGACCCCCCACTTCCATCGGGCCATCTTCTTAAACCAAGGACAGAACGCCTAGGACAGGTTGGCCCAGATTCTCACCAGGACTTGGCTTGTCTTCACCATCTGCCCCCAAGGGTCTCTCCCCTGATGCTCTGCTGAGGGCACGCATATCCCCCATAGAAGTTCTCAGCGTTTCCCTGAGAGCAGGAGGCAGCCCCTTCCCTCTGGCCATACTCCTGCCACATGTCCGATGCCTGGTCCACACCTCAGTCTTGCTAAGCGCCCAAGTGTGAAGAGCCCCGTGTTTCCCAAGACTCGCTTGTGAGATGAAATGCATTTCTCTGGTTCTCATCCAGATAAAAATGTTCTGGCTAGTTTGTAAAGTCTCCTAACCTCAGAAGCTGTAATGACCACCACGTCTGGTTAAAAAGACAGAAAGGAGGGGCGCCTGG